TGAGTTACTCGCATCAGCATGATTGGGTGAATAAAGTAAAAACCGTTCTGACAGCTCAGAGTAGAAAAGAGCTATAAAAGCACTAGTCCATTTACTATTTTAGTTACTGCTGCTTTGTATGCAGCTCAAAGCTGTTTGAGCAACAAACATGCTGATGCCAGAGAATGAATAAGCCTGCAGCTCATTGGATATTTTCTGCAAAACCCTAAAGATGGTTGTATGGGAAGATCCCAATAGATTGTTGGTTGGAGACTTGTCTGAGTATTTCAGTAACTGCGAAATTGACAACAATCACAGCATTTTACTGAGATCTACTTTGTAGACAGAAGAACTCAAATGTAATAGAAATGAACAGACATTATTACGTTGGCCTCGTAGTCTTTTAAATAGCAAATAGCTAACAGGACTGAAAGACAAATAAAGGGTGTTAGGAAGGTTTTTGGAATTCCATGGTGGATGTTAATCTCTTGGAAGGTCAGATAGAATAGGCTTTTTGTTTTGCTGTAGTTTTTTTTTTTTTTAATGATTGCTCTAATTGCCCATTTTTTTAATTGGATGGACTTTTTGACATTTTTACTGTGAGGAATATTATTACGTAAAATAAATACAACCATTATACAATTCTGAACATCGCTGTTATTACTATTTTTTAAGAGCTTGGTTACCTCCCAAAGTAACGTGCTCTCCAGTTACGGTGATTATGCACAAGCTTTTAGCAGGTGATTGGCAGTTATTGCCCGACATGGCTATTACACATCTTCAATTCAGTGTGAGTTTTTTTTTTTTGCTGTAGGGGTCAAGCTAATGCAAGCGTTCCAGCCTCATTTCCATCACTCATCACTGTCATTAAAAGAAAAGTGGACTGATGAGAGCTCTGCCTCTCCAGAGGCCGACTAATGACCACATTCTGTACATCAGTCAGGATGTTAACTGTCAGCATGACGCGGCCTCTCACTATAATAGTCAGGAATAAATCGCAGTGGAGAATGCCGCTTTAACATTTCGCTATTACATAATCACAGAGTCCAATTTCTTCTAAAGAAAAATTAATTGTTAGACACAGTTAACTAGACATGTGACATGATAGAAGGCTAAAGTAGTAGATGGCATGTTAAATTTTAAAGAGGAAATCTTTATCTCCTAATTGAATTTTAAAGTAGCATGTTATTAACTATTGTCTGTTTTAATTTGGTTTAGAAAAAGGAGGTCATAGTTTTTGTATTACTACATTTGATTAAATCCAGAAACCAGAGCCTAAAATGTCCCCAATCTAAAGACTGAGGTTTTTTCACTACTTTGTTTTTTCCAAATTAACTTTTTTATTTAACCATACAGACTTTGTGTTTAAATTTTGACTTCTTCATAATTATTTTGACTCATAGGTCTTATCTCCTTAGACACTGACTGATGTCAACATTGCAGCAGTAATATTGATTGAGATCAATGCCATCACGTTTTGCTACTACTTAATTATTAACGCATAAGTATCTTGTGAATAGTCATTATTTTTGTTCAGTAACCTATTTATTTATTTGACAGACACTGTGGCTGTTAAGTAATATCCCGGTTGTAACCATGTTTTTATATAATATAGAAGAGAGCCTAATTATTTATGTCCATTTATGATTCATTATCCATGTTGCTGTATATCTGCGCAGGTGTGTCTTTGATGTCTTTACATAACAGAGAGTGTCTGTCAGTTCTCTGATCTCTGGTAATCTGATCTCAGGCATTATTAATGTGTTATGGCTGTGGTGACCACACAACAGTATATTATTATTAGAATTTGTAGAATTACAGTTTACATTTCAGACCTGCATGAGACACGTGGTGCCACTGTGGACCTGTGCTAGCAAAGATTAGCAAGCTCTGGTCAGGCTACAGAAAGACAGGCACTCATTATGCTCAGCATTGCACAACTATGCCGATGTTTTCACTCAACAGCAGCATTATGTTCTCTGCCACTGCTGCTGTTATATAACTGAAAGTGGCAGCTATTTTTATATTTTGTGGTTGAGTGGGTCAATAGCTCAAAACCTAATTTGAATTTCAGGGGAAAAACAGTATAACAGACTGTTGAAAAAAAAATGCCTGCTTTTGACAGGTTTTTAAAAATTTTTTTTTTACCAGTCAATAGTTAACACTTTATAGAACCCCCAAGGTTGTATGGCCTAAAACCTGTGGTATATTTATCACAACAAAATCAAAGAAAGCTTTTTAAAAATCTTATTCCATATTTCCAAAACTTCTCTTTGTGAATGTTCAGGTCCCACTACTTTCCCCATCTCTAGTAGTTTATTGTTAATTTGAGGAATTTGGAAATGAAGAGCAGCTATTATTTTTAACATTTACACAACATTTACAGCCATGTGACAGGCTGGCGACCTGTCCACGGTGTGCCCTGCCTCTAGATACACTAGTAAGGATACACTAGCAGATACAGTAAGCAAAAAATGGATGGATGGATAAAAGTGAGTTTTCAAATTGTCCAGTCATAAAAATATGAAAGCAACTACACCATGTTAGTCATAGCCTATGTCTCCTTGTGCCTTATTGTGTTAGCACTGATGTATACAAAAAAAGGGCTAATCTTAGTCTCCTTAGATATGGGTTCAAATTCCCGAAGTAGGTAAGGTTGTGGGGGGACAGATTTTTCTATTTTAACTGTATTAACAAATTCTCCAAAAACAAATAAATAATTACATTTCCAGAAGAAGGTTGTTATTGTTTTAATAAACCTTAAATTTTAAATATTTAATGAGCTGTTTTTATATAGTGTTTACTGCTGTTATCTGACAGAGTTGGCCCTCATATTGCTAATTTAGCATATACTTCAAAATAAAAGACTTTATTTTTAGTTGGTCTTTTGTTTTAAAAGAAAAATGGAATTCTTCCAAAAAACATAAATGCATAATATACGGAGATGCTACAATGGCCAAAGTGCAAACGCATATGGAGGAAAACGCAGGGGTCATAAGAGGTAACCCTGTGCTTAATACGGGGACTTGGTATCACCAGGCCAATCCCACTTTGAGACCCAATCAGGACAGAGTCCCATATGATACAAGAGAGATCAGTGCTCTCAGATACCTAATGTAGGACATCCTTACCTGCAGATACCAGTTACTGTATACCAGACTGGTATCTGCAAACAGCAGAACTTCAGACTCTAAGACTCAGCTGGATTGGCTTTACATGCAGCCAGGAGCAGCTGGAAGAGGCTTTCAGTCATAAGTCCAAGTCTAAAACAGTGGAGAACCTCAAATGTGGGTACTGAAGAGAACAACACAGCTAACACAGATAATAATCATACAACTGCTAAACCAGACAAGATTATCCAAGACCTGCAGGAAGAAAGAAGTGCTGCAGAGCTGTGTGTGCAGTCTTCAACCTAAACCACTGAGGCTTCACACACAGACAGGCTGATCTGCTCATCCAGGGAAGGAACAGCGACACCTGAAAGAGCAGCAGAGGTTCAGTTGTGAAGTTACTGAGCTTAAAAGTTAAGCTCTGCACCAATGAGACCCTTCTTTGAAAAAAAAAAATTAAAAGCCACTGAATTTGGACCAAGAACTGCATAAAACCAAAGCCTCATACTTTTAAGCATGAGGCTTTGGTTTACATAAAGTCATGGAGGAGCAAAAACAGGAAAGCAGCAACATCGCGGATGAGCTTTCAAAAGAAGAGGCAAAGAAGACTTTGCATCTGCAGGAGACCCTGCAATGAAAGCAAGAGAACAAAACCATTATCACCATCATCACTGGCCGAACTCGAGGCCCGAACTAAGATCATGTCAGAGAGAAAAGTCCAAAAGGAAGTAGCAACCATGGCTAATTAAATCATTCACTTCACTGACCTCAACACAGTCATCAAAATGATGATTATATACAACTACAAAGCTTTTTAGATTTGGGTTTACGCTCTGGATTAAGTTCAGATGCAACTTCAGGTTTAGGTTTAGGTCGGAGAAGCTGTTTTTTTTCCTGACCTGAAGTAAAGTGTTTCCAGTGTCTGAATACAACTGTGAAAAGTGCAGAGTTTTTGATGGGAAAACATTGTCAGTGAACACATCACTGATATAATCAATGATAATGTATTTGAGAGCATATTTGCTGTTTGCTGTTGAGCTGTTTCTTCAACAGCAAACACCGAAAACTGATATTTGGTTGTTTATAAAGAGACAGGACTACATCAGGACAGTTCAACTTTGGCTGAATGAGTGAATTATTGGATATGACCAATAAAAAAGCATAAAAATAAAATATCAGAATAGTGATGAGTCATTTTGGTACAAAAGGTAAACAGGATAGAAAGAAATGTTAAAAAAAATGTAGAATTTAAATAAACTGTACTTTTTGCTGTTTTTTTTTTTTTTTACTAAAAAAACAGGATTCTTTTTATTTTTCGTAGTTGTTTTCTTAAATATACTGTATTCCCCATGCAAACAAGGTATTTGCAAGGAATCTCCATGTGTGTCACTCTTTTTTGGCCATCTTAACAACTATTTATCCGATTGGTCCCGAATCACATTCCTTTGCAGATATACAGAAATACCAAACACAGGAATGTGCTTGCTGAGTTGTGGCTGCACTACTTGCACCACTCCAGAGACAACTCAGGATCCGCCTCATAAGCCTCTGTGTAATAGAAGTGCTTAACCCACAGATCTCTTTTTGAAACATCATTTTGATCGTAAGTGGAACGAGAGAGAATAAAAAGAAAAATTACATTGAATCATTTGATAATTACGACCGCTCTGCTGCACCACCCTCAAAACGTATCCCGCTGTGGGTGTTTAATAGAAAGGATTGATGCAAGACTGGGGACATCTACCCAGAATACCCCATATGCATTATTAATAGCGATTAATAAAGTGCTGCTCACATGTTACATAATCACTGACATCCACATGGGTCATCCTACTGCTGACCAGCAATTCATCGTGCATGCTTTGTGAAGTGACTCTCCTTCCTATCCTCATGCTTCTGTTACTTTTGCAGGAATCACCACAGTGCTGACCATGACCACGCTGAGCACAGTGGCCAGAAACTCTATTCCTAGAGTGTCCTACGTAACCGCCATGGACCTGTTTGTCACCGTCTGCTTCATGTTTGTCTTCGCTGCCATGATTGAGTACGCCATGCTCAACTACTACTCCTACAGTATACGCAGACCTCCCCCAAAGAAGAGAATGGTAAGCCTGTGGTGAGTGTATGAGTAATGAGTAGCAAAAAGGAGGACCGCGTGCATCAAACTTGCATTCTTTCTAACAACCACCAGACTTATTGTTTGCAAAAAGGAGTGTGATTATATAGAAGGCTATGAGAAAACAGGCCTATGTTTCACTTGATTTATGAGCTCTGTAAGCAGTTTTTCAGTAGGTTTATGGTCTCAATCACTCGCTTGAAGTCTTATTCAATCCAACCTGAGGTTCATTTTGTAAATTATGGTCCCATTTAGAGTAAAACAGAAAATAAACCAGGGTATGTTAGGGGACAGCTATATTGTGATGGACTTGTCACCAGAGATGGGCGGTAACGCGTTACTGTAATCTGATTACTTTTTTCAAGTAACGACTAAAGTAAGGGATTACTATTGCAAAAACGGTAATTAGATTACCGTTACTTTCCCGTAGGAACGCTGCGTTACTGCGTTACTAAAACCGTGATTTTTTGCGAGAATGTCTCATGACAGTGACGTAAGCAAGTGCGACGTTCGTGGCAACAGCTGTGTGCAGATCAACAATGGATAATATATCGAGTGTGGGAGAGAGTGTGAGCGTGCAGCGTTTAAAGCGTGGAAGTACTGACCTTACTTTGAGTTAGATTCCATAAAAAGTGACAAAAACATTAGTGTCCGTTGTGCGTGGGAAGAAAACTTCTTTTTACAGTGAAAAAAACCCCTAAACTTCCAAGCAAGCACCGAGTGCGCTACGACGTAATGGGAAATTCACAGAGAAACTCATGGATTCTTCCACTGACCGCTGCGGCACACCTGCACCAGGGTAAACCTCCGCCTTCCCCTACTCCTGCTTTACAGGTGAAAATAGAGCAACAGGACTGCTAGTCTTTGACTTTATTTATTTTCTGCTGTGTTTTACTTGCATCTATTTGAAAGACTGAGTGTAAACACAAAAAATATTTTATTTTATGTGCTGGAATGTGCAGAAAATAGGTTTAAATGTTAAACTAATTTATTCAAGTCAGAGAATGTTGCATATAATTAAATATTTGCTTGATGCATAAAATTAAAAGATTAAAACTAACAAAACAAGTTTTAAAAAGAGACTTTTCCATTTGATTACATTTTGTATGATGGATTATGCAGAAAAAGTAGAATTGGGCTGAAAGATCTATCGCTTTATCACCTATTCAGGTTGTAAATCATGATTTTAAAAAGTAACTAAGTAACTAAGTAATTAATTACTTTTGAAAATAAGTAATCAGTAAAGTAACGGGATTACTTTTTTGGGGAAGTAATCAGTAATTAGTTACTGATTACTTTTTTCAAGTAACTTGACCAACACTGCTTGTCACTAGGATTAGGATTAGGATTTAACTGTATTGTCATTGCACATGTATAAATACAGGGTAACGAAATATATACTACTGTATGAGAATGCAGTGCTCTTTGTGTGATAGCAGCCAAAATCCCAAATTTAAGACCACTGTTTCCCAACCACTGTATTTGCCGAAGAAATGATCATGTGTGCCGTGGAAGATTATCTGGTTCCACCTAATTAGTACTCTAAACAAGCGATCCCCAACCCCCGGGCCACGGACCAGTACCGGTCCGTGAGTCGTTTGGTACCAGGCCATGAGAGTTGAGGTGGATGTGAAATTTGTTGTTTTTAGGGTTTTTATAGTTTTTTATTGTGATTTTTTTCATCTTTTTTTATCGTTAACTTGGTTTCCCTGGGTCTTTTCCTGTGTTATGAATAAATCTTATTTTTTATGGTACTGGCACTGGTTTTATTTTGTTGTTTTTAACCGCAACACCTTAAAGGCCGGTCCGTGAAAATATTTTCGGACATAAACCGGTCCGTGGCGCAAAAAAAGGTTGGGGACCGCTGGTCTAAGCAACCGGCAGAACAATTACATTCTCTTCCACTAGAGGAAGAGTGGAAGAGAATGACTGGCTACCCACTCTGGGTAGCCAGTCTTCGGACTGGCAGTCCGAAGATGAAGAAGAAATGACATAATAGTCATGCTGTGAAACGACACAGTGCGCAATAGCAATAACTAAATATTTGAAAAGAAAAAAGTAGTCAATCTGATCTGGGTCCTGGAGAAAACTCCGACCCAGATGAAGGCCCTAGCATGAGTAGCGGTCAGAAGAAAGCAACAAGGTATACTGGGGACAAACCGAGCCAATTCCACTATACCTGGTGTGCGGGGAAAAAGTATCAATAAGCTTTTTGTGACTTTTTTTTTTGGTGGTGTGCCTTGTCATTTTTCTAATGTGAATTATGTGCCGTGGTTCCACAGGGTTGGGAAACACTGCTTAAGACTATAAAATGGTACTTGAAGCCAAAGAGGCTAGGTCCAGCCTTCATATGAACAATAGCAAGAGAAGAAGGGATTCCGAGAAGAACAGAAACCCACAAACAAATAAAGACAGACTACAGACCAGAGCTGGACTGCAACAATAAAATCAGTCCTGGCAGTTTAAGTCCAGACAGCCCACCATGATCGCTCTTACATACACATTATGTATATATTTCATTTTGTTTGATTATTGGTATTAAAACAGGTTTTAATCAGGTTGGTACAGTCGTTGTTGGGTTAGGAAAGTTGGTTTGCACTACAGCATGTGATAATTAAAAGCTGAAGTTTAGCTATTGCAGTGGCTCAATGTCAAAGTAGCTATTTACTTTACCTGAATCATTGAATCTCTCCCTTCCTAATTATGTCCCTCCATATATTTTCTTACAGCCTTCTTCTTCTACTTCTACTTGTCACCTTTCTCCACCTCTTCCTCACTCTGTTGTTAGGACTCCTACTCCTGCACATCTCCACAGTTTCCATCTTGTCATAAGTAGAAAAAAGGTGACCAGACTATATTTTTATCAGTTTGTTTCCCTTTTAGATCTGTGTTTTCATTGTAACCACATTTCCAGTTACCTGTTTAGGAATGATAGGTTACGGTCTAGCCCTTTTACAAAGTTGTTGCCTATTTGGAACACCCAAATGGAAAAGCTTTGAAAAACAAAACTGTAATGCCAAATTCATGCATGAAACACGAAACCCTAGCAGGTTGCTGACGACCCGGTGGGTGTAAAGTGGTTAAGGTGTCTGAAGAGGAAAGAACGCGACTGAATACTTTCTTTCACTGTCTTCGCTGTAATCACACCAACCTTCAAAAACTGATATTGATTTGATCCATAGGGTGCCCATATATATATATATATATATATATATATATGGGAAATACACAATATCTACCCAGGAGTTTGACATGTCTGTATTAGCACATGTGTGCAGCTGAATGCATTTCTTTTCTACCCGCCACTCCTGTATGAGAGCCTACCACTCTGTGTGGGCGTTCTCAAGGCTGCACCTGCCGCGAATGCTTTAATGGCGTCGGCGCACATCTACTAACACTGAGTCAGCCACTGTTGCTGTCATTTCCCTCTCTCCAGATCCCCTCCCTATTCATTATTTTCTCCCAGTGTAGAGGAGTTCTGCTGAATGTGTCTCAGGGCTAAAACAGACTGCCAGCTCAGGCTGAATAATTAAGTTGTGTTACATACAGTCCCCTCCTCTGCATCTCTGACTCTTCACTGTATTCTGGCCCGCTCTGTCTGTGGGAAAGCCCCCCCCCCCCTCCCAAATCACCACCATTCGTGTCGTTCCCTTGTACTGCCCACTCCGTCAAATTTCTTACTCCACACGACACATCTAACGATTCCTCTCTCTCGCCTACCACCCTTCCTTCAACAGAGTAGTGGAGGACGGGAAACCTTTTAAAAAAGATTTTAACCCAATTAGTTGGTCTCGCATGATTTCATAAACATCAGGGAGAGAGTCATGTAACAAATTTTCTCAGGAGGTACTTATTTGGCAATGGGGTCTCAAAAATTCTTTCTACAGCTGCATTATGTGAAAGAAAAAAATAACAAAACATATTTCTTTGGTTTACAATATGATTGAACACTGTCATTAATTTCAACATCACAGAAATCCTTGTGCTGTTAGAAATTGATTACACAAAATGTTATTGTTGGTACTGGTTTTTTATTCTTTTTTGTTATAACTAATAACAGGAGAAATATGAGAATGGCGCATCGCTCAAAAATCTATTCAGCTTATCAATTGAGTGCTGAAAGTTGGAGTTTTTAAGCACTCAAACACATCGATAAATATATGCCATGGCTTTGTGTCTTTATAATCTTTCTATTTTGGAGAAATGATAAATCATACAGAGTGTGGTAATTTACTGAAGGCACAATTTCTCCTTTAATACTTTAATGAAATATAGTGCAATACAACAAAAAGGTCACTGCTTGAAAATATTAGCAATCATCTGAACAATGGAGCTTTTTATGAAGTGGTTTTGCTCGAGACTTCTTGTTATGTCGTGCAACTAGCTTATTAGGCTAATGATGATAATATACGTCAGTATCTGCATTGTTTTACTATAGTTGGTGACCTACAAAGAAGTAGCCCAGGCTCGTGGCAAAATGTGAAATAGTTTTGAACCTAAAGTATTTAAGTGGAAAGAAGAATGTAATTTTAGCATTCGTTTTTGCAATTTTTAGCATAAAGACATAAAATTACTAACATTCACTAACTACCTAAAAGAAAAAGAAAGGCTTGCAACATAGCCAGGATATGTGTAATGCTACAGTTACAGGTGGTTGGAGCCCACAGCCCAACCACAATTATTGTAACTGTATGCAATGAACTTATAATCTTGGGTGACAAGGTTTGCAAATACTTGCAGTTAGCTGTTGTCTTCTAAGTATGTTTGGTGCCTCAAGACAATGATAAAATGGCAATAAGGTCAAGTTGGCAGTTACAAGAAAGTATTTGTTTATCACAAATTTGTTGCTGTCTGTATTCTCAGAAATCAACATTAAACAGAAAGTCACATTTACTACTTCTTCAGAGTCCAGCCTGAACCTCATAGATTTGAAAAAGACATTCAGAAATCTCTCCACATATAGTGATATAGTTGCTACTGGACACAATTTTAACAGAAAAATAACACAGGAGCTTGGCAACCTTGCATTTTGACATAGCAAAGAGTTTGCCCATGGACTGGGCTAACCACAGTCTATTATTGCAGTTAACATTCATCAGCACAGACTGACCAACTGATTGCAGCATGTTGACAATCTGTATATGTTTATACATCCATCCATCCATTCGCTTCCGCTTATCCTTTTTCAGGGTCGCGGGGGGCGCTGGAGCCTATCCCAGCTATCATAGGGCGAGAGGCGGGGTACACCCTGGACAGGTCGCCAGTCTGTCGCAGGGCGAACATACAGGGACAGACAACCATTCGCACTCGCTTTCATTCACACATTCACACCTAGTGACAATTTGGGTTATCCAATTAACCTATCCCCACTAAGTGCATGTCTTTGGATGGTGGGAGGAAGCCGGAGTACCCGGAGGGAACCCACGCAAACACGGGGAGAACATGCAAACTCCACACAGAAAGACCCCGGCCTGATGTTGGAATTGAACTCAGGACCTTCTTGCTGTGCGGCAATACATTACAATGTTTATACATTAGTAGTCAATTATATGCAAACTTTTGCCATTCTGTCAGTCTTAGTCTGACTGTAATTGTGTGGAGACAGGTTGTCTCCCACCAGGCAACCTGTGCAATTGCATTTCGATTAAAATTTGGCTGCTGCAACTACTTGCAGTTGGTCACTGAATGTGAAAAATTGTAATCACTAGGTAACCATCAGTTTTGCTTATTGGAAGGACACTGCCATCCTACTTTTATATTAGTGTCAAAAAATGTCTTCAAGTACCTCTAAAATATCTCTGGGTTATGGAGTTATGTGACCCCGCCCCCCAAAAATGATGTTAGCTAGATCACAAATTGGCTGTTGATGTTGGACCTGGACTAGCACTGAGATTAGAAGCCGAACATCAGGTACACTTGTTGACTAACTAAAGCCTAAGATTGCTAGCCGCATTGACGATCTGGACTTTCTATGCCTAGCTGTGGCTTGTAATTTTGATGTGACAGTCATTGCTTCGGAAATAGATTACGTAAGTCTTAATTAATTCACCTATTCTCTCTCTCCGTTTTTATCCTAGGCCTACTCGTCTTTCAACATGGGTCCCACCCCTCGGCCTATGATGCCCATGGGCAACTCCTTGTTCTGGCATGACTATGATGACAGTTGTCTGCACGAGTGCCTGGATGGAAAGGACTGCAAGAGCTTCTTCTGCTGCTATGAGGAGTGTAAAGAAGGCGGCTGGAGGAAAGGACGGATCCACGTCAACATCCGTGAGCTGGATGCCTACTCCCGGGTTTTCTTCCCCACCTCGTTCTTGCTCTTTAACATTGTGTACTGGGTCAGCTACCTCTACCTCTAGTCTGTCTCAAGCCGTGATGTGTGGGCACTGCTGAAACAGCCCGCGGCACTTTGCACCACGGCTTGTGATTTGAGGTCAGTGCTAAACGTAGGGGAAGAAATGAGGTGGATCTGCTGTGTGGGACTTGTGAGGGACATGCTGCCTCTGGAGTGATATGACGTATTCAAAAATACACGTGTGCTCGGGTGCACAGTGTAAAGGCCATGATACTTTGAGCAGTGCCACTCCACCGTGAATAAATCGCTCAGCAGTAGAATAACAAGCCGCCAGCATTAACTTGAATGGATGAGTCCCACTTATGACTCTCTCAGAAACCAAACAACAGACAGCTGTGACTTCAGAGACATTTGGGAACAGGGGTTGCAGAGCTGACTCTTGGTCGTGGAGATGGCGAAGCACCCATAGTGCCTTCTTTAGAAAGGGTGCGGCACCGAGAGAAGCAGCTTCAGAGTTCCCTTCATTATCTTTATTACCTCATCCATCACACCGCCGCATGCTGAGCTGTTTAGTCTTTGATGAAACAAACCCAGAACACAGTTCTCACCACTGGAGATGTTTAAAAACCAACGCTCACCATTCATTTCGTAGCACATTAGTTTTAGTTGTACCCTAGAATTAGTTCCCTTTTTGAGAATAGTTGTTTTCTTGTTCTTCTTCTTATTGGAACTAGTTGTTCTTTCACAGCAGGTCACATCAGCTGTTACTTGTTAAATATGGGTTCAAGCCAGGGGCAGTGGTTGTATGGTAAAATCTTATTTATTGAGTCAGTGACTGTTTTGTTGAACATGACTATTTTGTTTGAACATGCCGTTTACAGTACATGCCAAGAAGATTTGGGAGTTTTTAATGAATGCTGGGCTATATTCGCACACAACAACTATATAAAAACTGCATAATGTCTGCAGACTGATCTAAAACTACCTGGGCATATTTTGTATGTTGCAGTAAACAGATTGGGGTTGGAGTACTGCTGCTTTTTTCCAAGAACACATCAGTTTTAAAAAAAAGGAGGTTTTTTTCTTACTTAAATAGACTTTGAGTTTTTAATATATCTTATGCATTACTTAGGCTTAAAGGAAAAATTGGATATTTCCAAAATTGTACTTTATATTCTCAAATAATGGTCTTTATTTAGCTCTTTATTTAGTTTACTGGTAGAAGACTTTTGGGGCTTGTAGGTTTATTTTAGAGAGAGGTTTTAATTCCAAATGTATCGTTATTCTAGTAAAAGCAAAATGAATTTAATGCATTTACCTTTTGTCTATATTGGTTCTATGTATATAATTTATAACTGAAATAGAGTAACAAAATATTAACTGGCCTTTTTCCCTGAATGACATTATCCCTCCTTATTTTTTATGATCCAACAATTTACTTGTGCTTCTTTCAGGAACACTTACTTTAGAGAATGAATAGCATGACTTTCTTTGCCAAGAGTTCATTGAGGAGACTAATTAATGTCTGAATGTGAAATTAGCAGCCAGTAGCTAGCAAGCCTGATGCAAACACTGAAACTTGGGAGAAGCATCCAGATCTGCCTAAAGGGATATCTGCCAGGACTCTTTGGCAACTAAAGACATAAGTTAGCACTTTTACTCTTTAGGTTAAACTGTTAGCAGTCGGACGTACCGCCCACGGGACATTGGATGGTTTAGGGGACTAATAGGACTGCTAAGGGGTTAAACAGTAACTAGTTAGCGAGTTTTACGTAGAGCTATTAAACAAACTTTAGTCTTTTTGTTTTTTTCTGAGTTGACAGTTGTTAAATACAGTTTAACATTTGGCATACCAAAATGAGAATATACACTGTATATAAAAGCTAGCCAAGGGCCACTAGGATTGGTTCAAGTTCAATGTTGAACACAGTTCTCACCCCC